CTCTGGCACCCGGGACCCCGGCTTCCCTCACAGCCCTGGCTTCATCTGGAAGGTCGCCCAGAAGGACGTCGAGTCTAATTATCATATTATGCTTTTATTATTACAGATATTATTATAGATGGTACTTATTGTGTGTCCCAATAACTGTGAAAAGAGCTTTATACACATTATTACAGTCAATTCTCACAATAACCCACCCTCAGTAGGTATTATGTCCTTCTTACAAATCCCCTTATGGGGTTCTTTGTATTTTACCTTCAAATATTTCAAAAATTACATTCTTGATGAATCTAGATCCATAAATACACTCTCGATCTAAAATATTTGCTACTTCTAAAATATTTTAAGTCCTATCTAGACATTTACAAAAGAGCAATTAGATCTGCACATAGCACAGAGATTCAAACCAAACTCCTAAAAATCATATATATTTCCATTAAAAATCAATTGAGTTGAGTTATGAATCAAAAATGGTCAAATATCAGCAGTTTACATAGTTCAACTTTATATGAGAGGCAAAAATTAAAATTAAAAAAACCCTTACCTTAATAAAGGTGACCCTTTCATTAGCTTAGACAAAAATGAAACACAGTTTTATGGGGGAATACTTTTTCTGCAACACTTATCAGCGATCAAGAGGCTGACTCTTTCAATTGGTTCAACATGTGAGATGGTTTTTCATCCAAAATGACAATTTACTACTGTAACTTCATCCACAGTTCCTAATTTTCCAATCTCTGACATAAACTTGATTTCAGATTAACAATATATTAACTACATGCTAACCATGTGCAAAGTTATATTCTAGATATTGGGGATTTCCCGCCATTTCATGATACCATAGTGATTAGCTAGGTATTAATAATAGGAAAGAAGCAAAGGGAAGGCCAGACACTATAAGCATGTCATTGGGCAGCTTCACCAGGAAGCTGCAATTTCCCACACCTCAGAGAACCACTGGCCTACTGGGGAAAGGGACTTACCAAAGAGGAGATAGATGCATTCTCTGTGAGATTGGGACGGTATAGGGAAAATACCTGCCAGTCACCTGGGAACAGAGATCATTGGCCAGAATGGATATGGCCTCAGCCAGTGGGTGAAAAATTGGGAATACATAATGTCCTAAACAAAGGAGTTCACACTTTGTTGGCACTCTCGTTGTTCCTGGTTCTCTTGTTGTTCTTGTGGTTCTCTTGTTCCTGCTTCTTTGCATTTGTCTATACGGTCCACAGCCATGTGGACCCTACAAGCAATGGACTAATGGACTGCAGTTGGGAACACAAGCTAAGTCAGCCTGATGCTGACTGGAGTGTGCAAATATGGAATGGAAATTCAGGACACCAGCTCTGATTTTAGCCCTGCTAAAGGCAAAATGGAAACTTCTTTCTTGGGACTCAGCAAAATGAAGGCTTGGAAACTCAGGGGTTTGACTCCACCAAAATAAAACTTTCTACAATATCATATCCTTCCATGTGAGTCTCAGAAAAATTTTTCCTGGGATATCGCAAGAAACCCACTCCTACTAACAACATTGATAACACTATTAAGTATCATCAAGCTAAAGACATAGTAAATAACCTAAAAATGTCATTTGACTCAAAGAATGATTTAAGTATACTTCCATTCAAAGCATAAGAAATGTTAAAAGGTTCTTCAGAGAATAAAAAATATCTAAAGTTGGTTCAATCTAAGTCAAAATTTCATAAACAATAATGGTAATCTATTATAAGCAACTGATTTAGAAATTGAAATGTAGTAATTTTCTCTGCAAGTACTACATTCATTATTGGAAAAACTTTAAGCCATATTATTGAAGAATCAGTAGGAACCCAAATCATGAGTTTGTTTTCTTTATGCATTAAAAATGCTTCTTTGCGGCCCTCTATACACCTGCCACTCAAAGTGAACTCTGAGACCAGAAGCACCTCCTCACTGAGGATCTTGTTAAAAATGCAGATTCTGAAACTCACCCACGACCTCAAAAATCAGAATCTGCATTTCAATAATATTGCAAGGTGATCCTAGGCACATCAAAGTTCAAGAAGTACTCCCCTACGACACAGGGTCTTACCTTTGGCCTTAGGGTCAATATGAGTTTCATGAATTTCCTAAAATTTCACGCAGAAATTTTTGTAAATGAATATACGTACGTCTTACTGGGGAAAGACTCCATATATTTTTATCAGACTCTCAAAGTAATATATTGCCCCCAAGTAGGTTAAGAACCACTGCCCCACAGGATTCTATGCCACAGTTTAAAAGTCAAAATATTTCGAAAACTATTTACGCTGCTCTCAATGAGGTCTGTTGAAGAATGACAAGAATGAAGGTCAGCACGTCACAGTGGGTCACGAAAGACCTTATCTGAAGAATTTATTCACACCATGCAAGAACTATGCCAAGAAACCAGTTTGGAGACATCTAAATAAATAATTCTCTACATGAGGTTTGAGATTAAGAATGTGCTCTTCAAGAAGATTCAAACTGAGAAGTAAATAAATATAAAGTAGACATTTTTTTAGAGATAGGATGCCATTAGATGACAGTGTAGGGCTGAATTCTTGTTGTAAGAGCTCAATCAGCAAATTTCTAATGTGAATTCTGTTTGATTTGGGATATGGGAGCATTTCAAGAACTTAACTTCCAAGCACATTCTTCTAATACTTCCTTTATGAGGAACCCAAACACACTTTACTAGTCCCACCATCTTCATCTTCTCTGGTCCTTAGAAGATAAAGTAAAGAAGAAATATGGCACAAAATTTAAAAGGGATGTGCTCAGGATATTCTTGAGTTAATGATAAAGAATGATTCCTTTCCAGAAGGTTCTCAGTGATATATGAGAACTGTGTATATATTTCAGTCTTTTAACTTATCATCTAAGCATCTTTCAGGGTATGTTTTACCCTGGAACATAGACTATGTCTAACTTCTGTTTCCTTAAGGCATAGTGCCTGAAAGAATTTAATTTCCTTGACAGGCACCCAAAATGTAAATAAAAGGCATTAACTGGTCTTTCTTGAGACTGATTCTTTATTATATTACTATTGTAACTTGTCATCAGTGATGAGCCTAATAATTGACAGTATGGTCTCCAGGGCAGATATATATCCTACAGTACCAATCATTCCAGGCAAGAAAAATGCTGGAAAATAATTCAGGGTATCAAGTCTTCTCTGCCCCTTTCTATTTCCATGGGTATTAGGCAAGCACCTGATTCTTTTTTTAGCTCTATTTCTTAGAGCTATTAAAAGTCCTTGTTACCCAAGTACAATAGGGATTATGATAAAATTTTCACACATTGTTAACTATTAATGTACCTCATTTGTACACTAAACATATCCTGATAAAGTATAAATTTTAAATGCAATCACTTACATTGTATCCTCTCAATAATGATAACTATATAAAAATATAATACTTTACACATATCATAGTCTCTCAGACATTCAATCAAATGTAAATGCTAATGCTTTGGACCATAATTAATTTAGTTATTTGCTTTTCAGCCCTAACAGGTTTTTTTAAAAATATATTTTATTTTTTATTTTATTTTTTTTATAGAGAGGAAGGTAGAGGGATAGAGAGTTAGAAACATCGATGAGAGAGAAACATCCATCAGCTGCCTCCTGCACACTCCCCTTTGGGCATGTGCCCGCATCCACGGTACATGCCCTTGACCAGAATCAAACCTGGGACCCTTGAGTCCGCAGGACGATGCTCTATCCACTGAGCCAAACCAGTTAGGGTTCAGCCATAACAGTTTAAATGGTGGCTATTCAATTTTTGACATGAAAGAGGAATAATAATAAGGACAGAGATATTGGCATTAATAATACTTAATAATCGTGAGGAAAGAAGAGTACTGAAAAATAGGGAAGTAACTAACATTTACATAAACCAGCTTTATGACAGGCACTTGTGCAAACCTATGGGGGCAGAGAATACTATCTTGACTTGATAGATGAATATACTAAAGTTCCAACAGATTAAACAATTACCTAAGATTATGAAGTTAGACAGTAACAAGTTTTGGGAGAAGAGGAGCGTAAGGAGAGTAGTAAGGTATAGCAAAAGACAAGGAAGGGGACAAGGCAGTGAGCCCCGATTTGTGTGGAGAAATAAAACAATTAAAAGGAGACAAGTACTTAAAGGCAAACAGGTTAACTGAGTATAGGAGTAAATGGTTCCTCGCACATGTCACTGGACATTTTAAAAGTAAATGAATGGGGTTTTTTGCTAATTTTGAAAAAATAAAATGATAGAGCCAGGATTTGTCTGACTCCAACGATCATGCTACAACCACCAGACTCACTGAGAAACTAATCCCATTATACAAATAAGTATTTACAAAAACATTTTAGCAGGAAATCTCACGTCAAGGGAGTTTTATTTTTAAAAACCCATTAAATGAGTTTCCAATAACAAAGAAGGATATAAAAATATGTACTAACTAAGCCACTTAATCTTATTCTTTACCTGAAAATGATACAGATCTAATCTAAGAGGTTATGGATATGTCACAAAATTCCCAGATTCTCTATAATAGCTCATACATTTATTTCCTTCAGAAATGTATACTAAACTTTATAATTTCAATCGGAACCATAACTCAAGGCAGAGAAATGCCTTTGTTCATTCCCCACTATTAAAATACCATCTTTTATTGGTCTCCAAGACCTTTTTCCAGTTTCAGTGCAGGCCACCTAGATCTTTCTCCAGATCAGATAAACTCTCCTCTTCCCTTAGTGTAGAACCTACCCAGTCAGTGTACAATCAAAAGACCCTGAAACATAAGAAATGGACACGTGCATTTAAAAATCTAAAGAATTAAAATCTAAGATATCTTAGTGCATCTTCATTTCCTTAAATTGGAACTTGTTTGTATTTAAAATAATATTAAATTCCAGAATATCACAGAAGCTGTATTAAATGAGTAGATTCTCCATCACATCTCAAACATAACAACAGTCTCACATCCCCAGTTCAAACGTTAGTTACCTCTTCTTCATCTTCTTCATCTTCAACATCCAGAATTCCTGAATCCTGTTCAGACTTGGGGCTGGTGCTTTCTATCTCCGTATCAAAAATTGTATATACATCTTTCTTAGCTTTTCTCTTGCTACCTATTCTGGGTTGTTGCAAGACGATGTTATCCAGGTTTCTTTGTTGCTGGGCCTATGACAGAGAAATGCACACGCACATTAAGAAAAAAAGGGGGGGAAAGCAATTAACCATTCAAAAAACTTACTTTCAACAAATTGGTATCATAAAGAAAACATAACAAAATACCTTAATACACAAAGTTTTAGTCCCAGAAATAAACCAAACATATTTATGTATACATTTTTAACCCTGAATTTACTCTTCTTGATTCGTTTTCCCAGTTTCCATTGGGGGGTGGGGAATAATCAGTCAATTCAGTATTACCATCATACTTTTTAAATATACCCACTAAATCATCACAAAAATGAAATCTACCCATTCTCCTCTAAGTAGCCAAGAGACGAGTGCAAGAGAAATGGCATGCTGGAACCATGCAGTGGGGAATAGCACAGGGGACTCTTAAAAGCAGTTGTGGGGATGTAAGAGATCAACACAATTCTCCTGATTAAAAATAAAATATCTTAATAGAGTAATTCAAACTAACTAATCCAACAGGATTTCATGACTTAATCCGTGGAAAACAAAGTTTTAAAGAATTTCTTCTGAACTCTTCAAGAAAAGGAAGTGTAATCCCCTCGACTTAATAAAATAGACTCAAATGATGATGTGGTGTCAACAGATACCAAGAGGTTGGCAGCATCACTTTCCAGGGTCAACAATGTAAGTATCAAACCGGACGGCATTAGAGATGGAAGTGACCTAAGTCCCCACTCAGGAGACTGAGGCCAGAAGACAAAGGAGTTGATGGGGTCTAGTTAACAATAAATCTGAATCTCTAAGTGATCTTCTAAATTCTGTATCAGTGATCTTCCCACTATTCCAACAGTCCCTCAAAGCATGGCAACATGCTTCCCTAAAAAGGGGGTTCTGTGATCAAGTAAATAGGAAACACTGCATATCGTGAAGCCTTCTTCTAGACATATAATGTTTATTAACAGAGTAAAAATAGGGAGAACTTCATTCTAAAAAACTTCTTTGATTTAATCCAGCATATTCCAAACGTATTTCATAATGGAAGTTTCCTTTTTCTAGTAATCCTTAACATCATCCTAAAATAGAAAGCCTAAGAATTATATATATATATTTCTTTAATCAATATATGATATTTCTCCTCAGTGACGAACAGATATTAGTTCAAGAGAAAATCAGTTTCCAAATATTCTGAATGAGATTAAGGAATTCAAGAGGAATATTAAGTATAAGTTAGTCCAGGCATGGTTAATAGGACAGAGAAAAACTTGAACTATGTGAGCTTGTTTCTGCCAAGAAAATGAAAAGAATCTACATTCCAGAGATTTGAATCAATGGACAAACTTGTTTCTCTACATAGTACTCATTGATATTTTGCTTTGACTTACATAAAAATGGTAACAAAGGCATTCAAAAACACTTAATTTAGGTTTGTACATAAAACATACCTATCTTTCAAGCATTAAAATTAGATACAATATTCTTTCTTTTCCTCTCAAAAGTAAATTCTTCCCCCTTAACTTTTCCTGCAAACCACACAAAAAGGGATCAAGGCCTCTTGGGAGGCACAAAGGAAGGAGAACTTCCTAAAGCTTTTACTCTTTGAAAAACAAGCCCTCAACTGGAGTGGCCACTTGTCCCCTAACTCTACTGTCTCCTTCAGTAAGCAATACCAAAAACTTTTTCATAAGTTGATCTTATTTTATTGAATCCTAAGTTAATTATTTTTCTATCACAACCAATAAAATAGTACCAGTGTATCAAAAATAATTAAGAGAAGCCACACTTAATTTTAAATCTCCTATGACCTGTTTTTTTTAGATGTTATGTATCTGGTTTTCACATCAATTTGGAAGAACACAAATTAAGATAGCAAACCCTATGGTGGAAATGAAAGCATTTCAAGTACTATTCCAAAGCTCCATCAAACCTGGGGTCTCTGTTAGCATTATCAAGGCTTCTCTGGTGTGTAAAAAAAGTAGTCAGGGCAGAGCTGCTGCACAGGAATGGGCCAGATTAGAAATACTGCATCACAGGTAGAACAATGAAATAAATTCTCAGATGTTACCCATTATGGCTGCAAATGAAAATCACCAGCTATTCAGAATGTATGTATGGGACTGGCAAGAGTGGAGAAGAGTAATTATAGATATCAACATATAAATACATACATATATATTAAAATAAAAAACCCTTGGGGTGGGGAGGAGACGGAAAATACCCTTCAGAGATCTCTTCTAATGCTATTAGCTATATCACCAGGACCATTTATTCTGTCCCTCCAGAGACAACCTTTATAATCATGAGCCAAAGCAGCAGCTGCCTTCTGCCACGTGGGTTGAAATGGAGGCAGGAGGATAAGAAGCATACAAGTAAGAGTTAGATCTTAGAAAGCATTTAGGCTTTTTCTTTTTCTTAGTTGTTCATTATTTTTTTGAATTATTTTTACACATTTAAACACCTCTTCCTTAAGGTTCCCTCATATACACTCTTCTCTGGTTTCCTAATATATAAAAATTAAGCAAAGTTTGTTCCTCAATCCCTCTTCTCTTACCTCTCCCAAGATCAAATAGCACATCTCCTGCTTCCTGTTATTACCGGGTGCTCTACCATCACCTCCATCCCACATATCTAAAATGGAACTCATCACCTTCTCGTTATAATTCCCCTGCCTACTACAGCCAGGCTCTTCCTAAATCACATCATTCATCACACCACGTAAACATGGGAGAAATTCGGGGGGAGGGAGGGGGCGGTGAGGGGGGAGGATGTTAAATAAGTACTACAAATCCAAACTCCACATTCGTCACTTAGACTCTGCATAATGGAAGTTGAACTTAATTTTCCAATGTATTTCTCCAACATGAATCTTCCACTTGAATCAGACTCTACCTCATAATATACTAGGTATATTTCCACTTCTGTATCTCTACTAAATGACCTCTTTCTGCCTGACTCTAACCTTTCCTTCAAAACCCAACTAAATTATACTGACATTAGTAAGCCTCCTTGCACTGCCCTAATTCAGGGTGCTTTCTCTCTGTATTCCTGTTTTCAGTCAAACATATATTGAAGGTCTATTTGGTACCAGGCATCATACTACACACTGAGTATAGAAAGAAAAAGAGTCTCTGACTCATGAACCTCACATCAAACTATTATAGAAAGCAGATTATGCAATAAACATAATAGGAATAACACAGAGGACAGTGGGTGAATAAAGAACATAATTAGCTGCTTAGAGGGGTATCAGGAAAGACTTCACAGAGGAACAGGTAGCATGATCTTAAAAGATAAGTATAATTTTTCCAAAGATAGTTAAGTAGAAAGGAGGACCATTTCAGAAAAAGGAAACAGCATGAGAAAAGACCATGTGTGAAATAATAACATTATCCACCCAAGGGATAAGTAATTTCACTGGGGATGTGCCAGCAACCAAGGTACTTGACCTGGACCAGAATCGAACATGGGATGCTCTATCCACTGAGCCAAACCAGCCAGGGCAAGGGAATTACTTTAAAGCAAGGATCAGCTTTACAATTCAGACAAATCCTCTAGAATCATAGGAGTGCTCAATTGGGAGAAGATAGAAACTAGAAACAAGAAAATCAATATAGATCACTATAATAGTCCAATAACAATGATGAGGGCTTAAGCTAAGGCATCAGCAGTTATATGAAGTAGAAGCACCAGAATTTACTAATTTGATTGTAGCACATAAAAAAATAGATAGGAAATAAGAATAGCTCTAAGTATTCTGGCCTTGATGACTAGATGGTGGGATCATTCCAAACAGTGGGAACCATGGGAATAGTAAGTTGAGAACAGGATGGAGAAGAGTTCAGTAAACCTGCCAGATAGCCAGGCAAACAAATGATAGTACCACACTTCAGTTCGTGATTCTTCTTTCTTTGAGTCTAGGAAACACAATTTATCATTCTTAGTCCCACAAAGCCCAGATTCAGCGACACATATACACTAAATTTGGATAAATGATTACTATATAAAGGCAATAGATAACAAAGGAAATCTATGAGCGAATAAAATATAGCTCAACAAAAAAGAGATCTGCAAAAGACAGGGTTTGTATATTCTCCTACCTATTAGAAGAGGGAGAAAACCCCAAAATCCATAAGAATTACCTCATCTGAACTATTATCCTAAAAAACATTGCTATTAATAGTTTACAACTCTCAAAGAGTGTATATATATATATATATATATAATTACAATACTGTGTGTGCATGCGCGCACGTGTGTGTGTGTGTGTGTGTGTGTGTGTGTGTGTGTAATTAAATAAAGTTTTAGTGTGAACTATAACTTCCAAGGGTGCTTAGCAATAACTCAGTTAAAATTATGTGAATCAAAAACTGAAGGGTCCTGTCTTTATCAACCCAATACTGACCTCTAGTGGGCTTAAAGAACATATGCAAGTGACCTTTAGAATCAATCTGAGAATGGACTTTACATAATTACATAATTATATGGACTTTAATAACAGGGTGCTATAACAAAAAACCAACAGACAAAAAAAAGACTTCTTGGAGTAATACAGGTCTTTAAATCTAAGCTCTGAAATTTATTAATCATATAATGTTGGGCAATGTCTTCACTTCTCTAGCCAACATTCCCACCTATTTAAAAAAAAACACACACACAAAAGGTTAACAAAATGTATCTTAGAACTGCCACAAGAATCACAAGAATTAAATGAGGTAATATAATAATCTTAAATTAATAGATTAGTAAGATAAGTAATATAAAGTATCTTAAATTAATAGATAAGTAAGACAAAAAAAACAACAACACTAAAAATGTTAAGCTCTACTTGTCTTCCTTCTGAAAATGAGAGAGAAATCTGTTTTACTTTCTACTGTGGAAGCCTCTGAGATATAAAAAATGTTTAGGTATTAATCACTGCTGACATCTAATATTACTGCACACTGCCATTCAATTTTGCATTAGTACAACATTTCAGGCATTAGACACCTCTCGTGCTCCACTTCTGATCCTCTCAGGCTCGGCTCTTACTCCAGCTAGAA